ACTTCTCCGAAGGCATGAGAGCCTGCTGGGAGATACAGGCTTTATGAATCACACAGCAGACTGCTATTAGCTCATCCCTCAAGCCATGAGCAACCTAAAGACAAGGAGGTCATAAGTAAGGCTGCGTTGGCCGGGAATCGAACCCGGGTCAACTGCTTGGAAGGCAACTAAGCTAGCCACTATATCACCAACGCTGTGGCTGAAGGAGCTTTGGAGTGATGTTCTTTTTCATATTGCATATTCGCTGCTACGGAAAGCTTGGCGACTCAGATTTACTCCTCGATGCTACTGTGAAAGCATGCAAACTCTTCGCTTATAGAACTCTGCTCCCAGATCAGCCAGGTAACAGTACTAAGCACTATACTACAGTGTGTGGCATCTTGTTCAGTCTCCAAGACCAAGTCATTGAATCTCATAGCAATAAACTGCTGTTCACTAGAGGGCAGCACAACACCTTAAAAAGATTCCTGGACAAATACTGTGTAAGCTTCAGTTTAATTTCTCAGGAAGTTCATGTAGGAATAGTTGTCAACTTTATATACATTCACACACAAATTTCCATATGATATTTTGTGCTTGTTTATCACCACTAACATGTAATAATCAATTACTTAATATTAGACTTTCATCTCATGTGCTATCAGCTACCTGTATGTGCATTTGTCTTAATGTCGGCAACAAATCCAATGTCTTTGTCATACTTTTCATGGGCCTGTGAAATTACGGGAACCAAAGGTAATAACAAGCGCTAACATTTTTAGTGGTAACTCATTGCGATGGATGTCAGTAGTTGCATTCTTAATGCATCATTTCTATGTGTAATATTTATATCAAATTTGTGTGAAAGTATTTTTTTCTGTTTAATGATGTTTAAGTTCATCCTCAATTTCAAGACCAGGCCAGCATGCTTCAACTTACATTGTCTGCCATTATAGTCAATCAGAGGCAGTCCAGATATTTGTGCTTTCATTCATTCTCTCTGTGGCATGCAGTAAACAAGTCCCTGTCTGTCTCTAGTCTTCTTGCCATCATACTTAAATGTAGGTCCAACCATGCATGATTCCTGGGCCTGGGACACAATTATTTCAGCAGGGTCCCTATGACCCATAAAGCCTCCCATCTGGATTCACTCATGGCCACTCCCCCACTCCCCCTGGATCCACTCCCCCCGGGCTGGTCCAATTATATTTAATACTTAAGGTGGCAGAATATAACTGAAGAAGAGAAAGAGAACAATATGTTTTATAAACCTTTCACAATTGATGAGAAAGTTAAATAATAATTTTGGGGTAAGTTAATCTTTGATCTTTGTCTCATAACAAGGTCATTACACTCAAAGGGCAAGATAATGAAAATCCAAATTGGCCTCCACTGGCATCTGAAATTTTGTTGCGTACCACATATGGATAATTATTTTTATCTTTCATCACACCCATAGTCTTTTAGTGATCGATCTTCCGTAATGACAGCAGTGTCTCAGTTACATTGACATTTACTCAAAATTACCCCTAACCCTGACTAAAGGATCTATTCCTCTTCCTTTCATGTTCATAAGTCAGCTGTATGGAAACACTAAACCTGGAGGAAACCTTTGCTATCAGAACAGCATTGCTAATTGTGTTATAAATATATCATCCTCCCGGACGACATTTCAGGCTTCTGGAAGGATTTTTTTTCTTCCTTTGGACATCTTTCATCCAAAATCAAAAATGCTGCATGTGCCACTCAAGCAAACATACCAAGAATGGTCTAAGAAAAATAAAATAAATGACGGAATTAAGTTTCTGAAGCCTAATGTTTTGAAAATGACAGTATTCATTTCTTGTCTTACAGTTTTTGAGTGCGGTTTGAAACTGAAGCGTTAAAATCAAACATTAAAGGACATCTTAAGAGAAAACTGTCCATTTTCTCCAAAGCAAGCAAGAAATAGGCTTGTGGGTAATGTGGCCGCTTCCTGGTTGCAGCTATAGTCTTAAAATTGTGCTGAGATTTTGGGAGCATAAAATTCAGAAGTAAAATCAAAGCCTGATTAGCACCATACAACCCTTTTAAAACTTATACCATTGTACGTAACAGATTTTTTTCTTGATTTTTCCTTTTACCACTGTAATTAGAATTTTGAAAGCCTCTTGGTTTGCTTTATGATTTCTGTCCTGTCTCCAGACAGTTATATACCTCTTTTCTGTTTTACATTTCTGTGTTTTTTGAGACAGCTGTTATCTTTTTCACAGGGTTAGAGAATTCCTTCGGTATTTCCTCTCAGTTTATGAGTTGCTGTGGAAATGAATTTTACATAATGAAATTCAAATGTCTGCTTATGGCTGTATTTCAAAAATGTTATGTCCATGTGAATCAGACTGCTGTTGGTAATTAAGCTGGAAAGGTTGGTTTCAAATCAAGTGTATCACAGCTATACTGCTTAGAGCTGCAAATCATTTTGGATCTTGATGTGTTGTCAGAGTTTGGATATTTTTTTAAACAAATGTACATACTCATTACTTGACCACATTAATAACAATTTAAGAAATATTTGGAGCTGTTGTTGCTCTTTGTTAAATTTTAATTGAAACTTTTTTTTTCGATAAGATCTGTTACAGGTCCACACCCTGAAGCTAAACAGACTTAGAATGGAGGCTAAAAAAACCCACTTTCCCAGTCATTTACCTTATTGAACGCTAACCAAAACTGTCAAGTCAAAATTTAATTAAACATATTAATGAATTAAACTCATTAATTAATTTAAAATTAGACTTACACATTAGAGTTTCATGGAAAATTATGTGGTCTGATATAGATCTGTACTGTATATGCCTGAGGTTAAGATATTTCAGTATTACCGATATAAAGAAGTAGCTGATAAGGAACAGGGGTACAGACAATAGGGCTACGTTCCGATAAACCTATCATAAGGTGAAAATATCGTAAGGCGAAAATGCCTTTAATACGTTACACATAACAAACATCATGGCCTAGCCTACCTTAAACATGCTTAGAACACTTACATTAGCTTACAGTTCAGCAAAATAATTATCACAAAGCTTATTTTATAATAAAGAGTTGAATATCACGTAATTTATTGCATAATTTGCTGAAAGTGAAAAACAGAGTGGAACTGGAATACCCTTCGTCAAGTCGAAATATCGTAACTATTGTAACCTGTGGAGCGTCTGTGCTTTACTTTGTTTAATATTTACCGATTCTCCATTTCCCCTTTCAGATGGCTGAAGATCAACTATGAAGATCAAAGAGGTGGTTGTGCATAGTTATGTTTGGTGTCATGAATGGTATACTTTATATTTAATTACTGTCCTGGTGAGTGTTATGACTGGGGTGAGGTTGGGGATGGTAGGGTTAGAGTGCTTCTCCTGTGTGCCATCCCGTAGAGTAGCGTTATTCAAATCGCAGTCCTCAAGGTCCGAGCACTGCTGACTTTAGAGTCTTCTGTGAGCCACATGTGAAGCCTCTGACCAATCAGAATCAGTAATCATTAAAATAAGTAATAGGAGAACTGAAAACAAGGCTGGGATTTGGAATCGAGGGCCAGATTTGAAGGGTCCTGCTGTAAATCCTTCTCAGGTCTCTTTCTCCTGTCCCTTACAGTTGTGATGGTGATAGGCAGCCACTGAATGACTTCTAATACTTAAATTTTATTGCCCCATTAATCATTTTGGTCAAATATTTTGTTTTTTTTTTTTACTGCAAAAACGCAAACTGTGAAAAATAAATTACAATTCAGCCAATATTCTCCATTTCTCTGCTTTTCTGATTTCATGTCAGCCTGTTTTCATTATCACAGCTGTCTATCTGAAGCAAATTACCTCCGATATGTCGCTTTATGATATCTTGTGTAAGCAAAATAGCTTCTCCTACATTGTTTGCACAGCTGTCTAGTACGTTTTAAAGAATATTGATTTTATACTCCGTTGCTCCCACTTTCAGTAAAATAAAGAATAAGATGTAAAGTTAAATGCCAGCGGCATACAAATGTCCACACTTGTTGACTTGTTGTGAGAGTAGATTCCAATTTTCAAAGCTATTCTCTCTGAATGAAGAAGCTGATGGATTAAGTTTTTTGGAAGCTGAACACGTTCACGGAACACACACACACACACACACACACACACACACACACAGTTTTGGCATTTTTAATTTTTTTTATTTAATTTTTTTTTTTTTAATAAAAATTGAGGTTGCAACCTGCAACCCACAGCTATTCATCAACCACTGGCCCTTCTTATTTTTGTTTGCCAGAACATTGCTTTCATATGAAATCTGAGAGGTGCACACCATTGTGGGAACAGCAGCTAAAAATCAAAGCAGGACATAAACATGGAGCAAATGGACATCTAGAACAGTGTTTCTAAACCCAGTCTCTGGCCCCCAAACAGGCCACAGGTATCTGGTGTTCTTGATTGTTTCATTTTGGTGTGCTGGGGGCTGGGAGGGAGCAAAAATGGACTGGGATGGGAACTGCAGTATAGAAAATTAAAAGCCAGCTGAAGCAAAGTGCCCGCAGCTTTTCTCACCCATGTTGTTTTTTCCCATGCATATCAGCTTTAGGCCTCTCGTCTCCACCTGCTACAGACGTGTTATCTCATACCTCCCGAATTAGAGGTTTGAATCCTACCCTGGCCCCACCTGCCAACACTCCCAGTTTCTCTGCGTCTGTTCCTGCTTTTCACCCCTCCTTCCTCTGTACTCACGATACACCATTTCCCCCATACACACTTCGCTCGTTTTTATGATCGTGAGAATTGATTCCCCTGCCCTGTGTTATGTACAGCCTGCATCTTCTCAGTATTGTGTGGGTTCCCACTGTATATTCTGATTTCCTCCAGTCCATAGACATGCAGTTAGATGATTTACTGTGCCAAAATTGCCTTTAATGTGTGTGAACCAGTGTTTCCCAATCTTGGAACTGGAAGGAAGCAAAAACCTGAACTACCGGTGGGTCCCTGAGGACCGGATTGGGAAACACTGCAATAGAATATTATGACTGGAGGAGCGATTATTTGTTGTGGGTCTAATGTGCAATTAATGAATATTTTAATAATCTAAATATTGTAACTGCAATGTTACAGGTTTGTGGAGTTTTTCTTGCATTCCCAAAATATGCTGTACTTTTATACAAATGATTCAATGTATTGCTAAAGTAAATGTTTGTATTGTATGGCTGCTGAATAACCAGTTCTCT